CAGAGCAGGTGAAGAGCACTGAGGCTTTGCAAGCTTCAAAGGACCTGCTGGCAGGGCCTGCTGCAGCCCTGCTTCGTGTCAGAAGCCAGATTCCTCCTAGAGAAACATCCCTGCAAACTGATAGGGATATTGTGGAGCAAGTGGCCATTTAGGGGGTAAAAGGCATCATTACAAACACATTTAATACCATCAGAGAGCACACGGACAGGTTTAAAGCCTCCAGCCCAGGCTTGACTCTTGAGAGCCTGCACCTTGCCCTCAGCTTCCCTTTCCAGGCGGAAAAATCAGTGGAAGTGGGAATGTGTCTGCTCCGATGGGCAGCCCAAAGCAAGCTGGGAAATGCCTTTTTGTCAGGAGAAGAAAGGAAGTCCCTTATCTGAAAGCTTTTTTGTCAGCAATTTAAGCGCAGGGCAAAAGCCCAGCAGTAAACCCAGCACCCAGGGGATGCTCTGGCACAGAGTGAAAGGCAAAGATACAAGTTTTGATGGGGGTTCTCAAACAGGGGGGCAGGACCTTCCCCCATCACCTCTCCCGCAGCCCAGAAAACCCCTTTCACAAGCTGCAACCCGCATCCGGGATGGCTGAGCCACCATGGGGCTAACAGGAACCGAGTGACCGGCTCCCCACCACCTCCAAGCAGGCAGTTCCCCACATTTGCCATGGGATCTCCCATCCGTGGCCACACGAGGGGTTTCCCACCTGCAGAAGTTGCAAGGTGGGAACGGGGGGTGCTCTGCTTTCTCATCACTCCCTGCACATCCCCGCTCCCCAGGCACCGCGCGGCTCTCGCTGCAGCGGATGCTGTGGTTTTCTTGTCTGAAATGCATTGCACAACAAGCCCAGCCTGGTGCTGAGGAGCATTAACTAAAGCAAAGCAGCTCTAATAGCGCTGGTCCTGAGCGCCCCGCTGGGAGACTTTCAATTGATGGACTTAGGAGAGATGAAATATTCAGTAGGATTAGGAATTTGGAGGAGGTGGAAATCAAAGTGGAAAGGAAAACAAGTAAAAACAGTTTAATCTAGCCTCCTAGCACTAACTGTCGCTGGGATTCAGGCTAAAACAAACACAACAAAACGAGCTGCCAATTTGAAAGGGGAAGGAAGAGGGCGAAGACGATTCCCATCGCATCGAAAGCAACCTTTTATCTCCACGCTGCCGCAGATGAGAGGCAGCAGGCGGGGAGGGACCACCCCAGCCCTCATCCCTCCTGCATGGGCAGCGGTGCATTTAAAGATGCCATCGTAGATGCAGGGCCAGGTTGGACGGGGCTTGGAGAAACCTGCTCTAGTGCAAGGGATCCCTGTGGCAGGGATTGGAACTGGATGTAAGGTCCCTTCTAACCCAACCCATTCTGCCCCACACACCCAGACAGGACCCCTCAAGCGAACCTCAGGCTCTGCAGACCCCTCACACCACAAGAGCAGAGCCCAGCGCATTGCCCTCACTCTGCTGGGGCCACGAGAGGGGGATTATCTTACAGGCGAAGCGGAGTTATCCAACACTGCAATTTAAGTTGACAATTACATGGTAACCGACTTGCTCACAAAGAGAGGCTCTGGAAGTATTCCCAGAATACAGAAGTCTGACAGTATCCACCCAATTTGTTGCAACAACAAAGAATACTGGAATATGTCCTTTCATTTGGCAGAGGAGTGCTTTATTTTTCAAGGCTAGGTGGAGAAATTTAGCCTGCTATTTAAGGAGCATGTTGTGCCTTGAGAGTGACAAGCCAAGAGTCTCACTAGAAAGCCAAACTCAAACACAAATTGCCTCCTGCCACCCAAGAAACTAAATGGCACCAGGGAAAGGAATTAGCAGGGCCCCATCTGTTGGTAGGGCCGGTGTTCTGAGGCATAGGGAGATTTAAGTGGGGGCTTTTTAGAGCTGGATGGGAAGACACCAAGCCAGGCCTGATGCAGCAGTGGCTGCAGTGATGCAGAAGATGCTCAATCAAGATGCTCATTACCTTACTCACGCTTTCCTGGTAATTTTATATCAGGACCTTCTATTAAAAAGCAAACCACAAAACCCCTGCAAACCCTCATAATTCTAACAAGGGGGATTCTGACACTGGCACAGGGTGCCCAGAGAAGCTGTGGCTGCCCCATCCCTGGCAGTGCTCAAGGCCAGGTTGGACACAGGGGCTTGGAGCAAGCTGCTGCAGTGGAAGGGGTCCCTCCCCGTGGCAGGGGTTGGAGCTGGAGGAGCTTTCAGGTCCCTTCCAACCTGAACCGGTCTGGGATCCTGGGATTCTGCATCACCATCAGACTACAAAATAAAGCACTTCCAGAAAATCAGCCCTGAAAAGGAAGACCAGTGGCTTTTGCTCAATGCATCTCAGACGGGAGAGGCTTTGGGTGCACACAGGCTCTTTGGGATGAGGAGGATTCCCCAGCACCTGATCCAAGACAAACAAAGAGGAATAAAGACCTGATAACCCTCACGTGGACATCCCTACGGAGCCTTTTCTGTGTGACCCATCCCCAGGGTTCACCTCCTGCTGCCCTCCAGGTCTGTGCCAAAAGGTTAAATGGCACGGGTGTTTCTTGGGATGGCTTTTTCCTCTCATGGCCTGGCTTGTGGTGGGAATCAATCGGCTCCCCCGAGCACAGCCTCCAGCTACAGCCGCACTCCTGAACCATTCCACAAACCACTTCCTTCCAGGCTACCGGCAGCCACGGTGATGTGAGGGCAGGAGCACGGCTGCTGGTGAGGAGCCGCGCACCCCAGTGCTGCGCTCTGCTGCCAGCAGGAACCCCATCCCGAAAGGGGGTCTGCAGAACAACCAGAGCTGGTGACACCAACCCAGCACCAGCACGCTGCTGTTCCCTGCGGGAACAAACCCTCGGCTCACACAGGCAGGGTTCGGGGTGCAGGAGCAGTGGGTGAGCCCAAGGGGTGGCGCAGCACCAGCATGGGAGCCACTTGCTCTCGAAATCAGTGTTTCACAATTAGTCGCTGTGGATGGGAACGTGCAGCAAAGCACAGCACGTTCCTGTACCTGTCAGCTGCTGGTTTAGCAAACTGCCAGCCCTCTGCTGCTCTCCTCTCTTCCTCTTCCCCTTCCTCCTCACTGTGTAGAAACCCATCCATCAGAGACAAAGCCTAGACCCCATGCACCCCACCATGGACGCTTTGCAAAAGCCAGGGTTGGGAAATTTGAGGCAGAGAAAGGGAAAAGAGGAATAAGCTGAAGGATGCTCGGTGGAAACAGAGAGCACAGGGGCAGGAACCCTGCAGAACTGACACCAGGCTGAGGATGTGACCCTGCTGCTCCCTCCGACATGGACCACTGCTCCCCACCTGCATCCCAGGAGCAGGCAGCAGCAAGAGCATCACTGCCCCCCCAGAGCCACGGCCAACTGCCCAGCCACAGAGATTTGTTTCCTTTAGAGGGGAACTCAGCTGGAAGGGGAAAAAAAGACACACACCCCCCCCAAAGAAACAGCAGCAAAAGAAACCACAGCCACATCCTGCCTAAACTGTCGCTCGTGATGGGTTGCTTGCCAGCGAGGATGCAGGGGAGCGGCGGTGAGAGCGGGAGCGCTCCTCCACTTGCCAAGTAACGCTCCAGCTATGAGTCAATCGACTGAAGCCACAAATCCATTTGCTCATGAACACGAAACCACAGCAACCCATGCTGCTTCTCAGGACCAACCTGGCCTAGTGGAAGGTGTCCCTGCCTGCAGCAGAGGGGTGGAACTGGATGAGCTTTTAGGTCCCTTCCCACCCAAACCAGGCTGGGATTCCTGGGTTATTTGCCCCACAGCATCCCTGTTTGCAGGCTGGTCCTCCCAGTACATCCCTGCACAGCATCATGGAGCAACGTCTCTGGCACCAGCCCAGGGATCACACCTGCACCACGGCACTGGGCCAGCCCATACCCACCCCCATCCTCATGGGGCAGAGCTGTACCCTTCACCCATCAGCATGGGGCTGGGTGGAGGCCGGCACTGGGTAACGCTCCTGGTATGCAGCGTGTTGAAAGCCCTGTGGGTTAATAAACACTCGACGTGGGTGGCTTGTGACTCACCAGCTCCATTGCAGAGCACTACAGGTGCTGCTGGAGAGCAGGAATCCAGCAATTAAACACTGGGAAAGGGAAAGAACACCCTGAGCAGTTAAAGGCTGCAACCATGGGGCAGCCAGGACCCTGCAGGAGGTGCTGAGGGTATGGGGAGGGAACTGGGGGTCCTCCCTTGCTTCCTCCATACGATGGCAAACAGCCCCATCACCCTGGGCCCCCCCTTGTCACCCAGCAGATGATGCCACAGGGTGAGAGCAGCTCCCAGGGCTGAGAAATGAAGCCCTGGGGTTGTTCATGGGAGAACACAACCAGTTCATCACCACATCCAAGCCATGCCTGCTGCAAGCAGCCCTTCAAGCGGGTGGGTTTGGTGGCTTTGCCCCAAGCTCTCGCTCCCAGGGGACCTCTCTTGGCCCCAGGGAGGCTCTGTGTGGCTTTGGGTACCACAAACACCTCAGATCCAAGCACTAGCACACAACGCATCCCTAATGAACACACAGTAACTGTGGGGAAGGCTCAGGGACCACACATGCACCAAGCACCCTCCCTCCAGGCTGCACAGGAAGGGAAAATAGCCCTCAGTAATGTACCCCTGGGCATGCACCCATGCCCTGCTGTCATCCGGGGTGCCACAGGCTCCCCAGAAGCAGCGCTGGGTTCACCGGATGGAGCATCTCCCCCCTGCGAGCCAGGGTCAGGCTCTACAATGCAGTTAGGAGGAGAAAATAACTACACAGTAGAAAAAAGAACTGAGAGAGAAGCAGCAAAGCGCATTTGTGAGAGGGGAGAGGGTGTCTGTGGAGCAAAACCGTGCTCTCAGGAGCTTTAGCAGGGTTTGGATGCTTTCCTGTGGCAAGGCATCACCAGAAGAGCTGCGCTGCCAGGCAAAGCCATGTCATCAGGGATGCTGCATCTCCCCATGCCCTGCTGTGAAACCAGAGCTGCTGAGCACCCTCGCCCCTACCCCATTACCTGGGACAAAACAAGGCTCAGCAATCCCAGGTTCCTGGTGGGGAGAGAGGAGTTGGAGCATCACAGCAGGAGCAAATGGCTTGAGAGATCCCAGTCCCTGATGGTGCTGCAGTCAGAAGCCACAGGTCTGAAGCTGCTTTATCCAGTCAGGGCCAGTCCCTGCCCACTCGAGTGAAAGCCGAGGACTTGGCTCAGCTGTGTTAATTCCCCATCAGAGCCATTACCCTAACGAGTGCAGGTGAGTGCCAGAGGTGCTCACAAGGCTCAGCTGGACCCAGTGCAGGGCTCCCTGTGCCCAGCATCACCAGAGCTGGGCTGTGAGCAGCACTGCCCGGGCTCCTCAGCCTGGGATGCACGATCAGCAAGGTGCAAATGAGGTGCAAGGAGCAGAAACACCCAGGCAGCAGGGGCAGGAGCTCACCAAGCACCTACACCATACATCAAAGGGGTCCCAGGAGTCATCTCCTGCCCTGCTGCAGATCATGTGTGCAATGCAGGAGCCTACCCCACAGTCCGGAACAGAAACACAGCATCCCAGCCTGGTTTGGGTTGAAGGGATCTTAAAGCTCCTCCAGCTCCAACCCCTGCCATGGGCAGGGACCCCTTCCACTGGAGCAGCTTGCTCCAAGCCCCTGTGTCCAACCTGGCCTTGAGCACTGGGACAGCAGATCCCTCTCTGTGCAGACCAGCAGCATCCAGGCCCATTTCAAAGGCCAGCAACACTCACCTCCCTCCTGGTTTGTTCCCTTAAGGCAGCAGTGCATGGAGGTTCCGGGAAGAGCCACGGGCACGTTACCCCTGTCCAGGAGCCTGCTCTTGGCTGCAGGGAATAGATAACCCGTGCCCTGGGTTGGCTCAGCAGGAGCAGCACCCATTTCAAACCAGAGGCTGTGCTGGCATCCAGCAGCCTCTCCTCCCCACCTCCACCTCCTTTCTCTGTGTTAAACCTTTTGGCTCCCTTATTGAAGCAACTGAACAGTTTAGACCCCTTTTCTTCCCTCTCCCCTTTCCCCTGCGTGGCGCTCGGTGTAATGTGCCTCGAATATTTGATGTGGAATCCCTTGCGAGAGCGAGAAGTGTTTTTATGGGCGCTGGAGGAAAACTCTTGCAAAGCCGAGTGGTAATGAGTACCCCTGAGTACCCTCTCGCTTCCAGAGCCGCCGCTGCTTCGAAATGAGCAGGAATTGGGCAAGTGGTGCTCGCTGGGGAGCGGAGCAGCCTCTTGCTCCCAGCAACGCTCTGCCTTCAGTAGCTCGGCACAGGCGAGCAGCGCTTGTTTATTCCAATTGAAGCTGACACCAGCAGCGGTCCAGCCCCAGCAGATGAGCTCATGTGTGTCCTGTTTCATTTCCAACGCAGATTAACAGCATCTCTTTAATCTCTAATGGCCCAGCCTGGGAGTTGCAGGCAGTGTTCAAACAACAGCAGGGGCTGTGTCTCCGCACACCCCTCCGCTCCCATTCCCACTCTGTGACCAGCATGGTGATTGTGCACAGCGCAAGAGCTCTCACCCCAATTACATGGGATGAGCTCGCAGGAAGCTTTCCATCACAGACACAAACACGGGTGGTTTTCACCTCCAGGTCTCTGAATTTAACACAGCAGACACGATCCCTCTCCTTTTCAAAGGCAAAATATTCCCTTTCATTTCCAGACCCCTTGTACATCACCACCCAGAGTGAGCCCAGTGCAGAGCTGCCAGCGTCAGAACAAAGAGCTTTGACAAGTCCTGGAGGTGTCGTGCTCACGTCGGATGGAGCACACACCGCAGACCCTTCGAGGGCAGCGGGGTCCCATTGCCTGGGGAAACCCATTGGAAACGTGGGAGCAGCGGATGCTTTCCAAGGGCCATGGCTCATTGCCAGGGACAGCAGCGAAGCAGGCGTTTGCAGACGAGGGTCCTGTTATTGCAGGAGGTTTAAGGGGGTGCTCGGTGCGGGATGGGCAGGACCTGGGGCTCCTGCTGCTGCTCGGGCTTTGTGTGCCAGGACCCCGGAAAACGCCCCCTTCCTGTGCCAGGGGGGCCGTCCCCAGCCCCTGTGTCCAACCTGGCCTTGAGCACTGCCAGGGATGGGGCAGCCACAGCTTCTCTGGGCACCCTGTGCCAGCGCCTCAGCACCCTCACAGGGAAGAGCTTCTGCCTAAGAGCTCAGCTCAGTCTCCCCTCGGGCAGGTTCAAGCCATTCCCCTTGGCCTGTCCCTACAGAGAGCTTTGTTTCCCCCTGGGCCTGCTCCTGTCCCACACTGGTGTGCTGCAGCAGGATCAGAGAACATTATTAAAACAGTGCCATGTTACCCATCAATAATAAATGACCAGAATAAATTCACTGCTCTCTGCTTAACAACCCTCCCAGATTTCCATTTAAATATCTGCAAAGAATCGGGTCCTCGCTCAATGAGCCCTGCAGCTGAATGCAAGTGCTGCATTCCAGAGAGCCGGCCCAGGAGAACCGAGCCCAGCTTTTAATGGGAAAGAGCTTTTCTCCTGCCGCAGGACTGAGCTGCAGCAGAGGGAGAAGGAGACGCTTGGGATGGATGAAATAAATTCAGTGATACACAAATATCAGTGGTGTGCTTCTGCTTAGATGCAGCCTGAGCTTCCCCACCCTCTGCTCCCCGTGGAGTATTTGCCTACCCTGGTCCCCTTGGCCAGCATCAGTGTTTCATTCCCAGGGACACAACCTTGGGCTATGGCCAACAGCGATGCAGCAGAACAGCAGAGCTGGTCCTGAGATGCTCCCAGCTCACAAAAGGCTGGAGCAGACCCCAGTTTCCCCAGGCCAAAAGATGAAATTAAGCCACCAAACCCCATTGATGCTGGGAGAACATGGTCCATCCTGCTGCACATCAGCACAAAGCAACCTCACTGAGTCCCAATGCTCCCTGTCCTTGGGGATGTTCTGCTCCTTCCAGGGCATGTTTTAGCTCAAATGGCTCTTGGCCGTGGGACATGCATTGGAGACACAGCCCCTGGAGACCTCACCTTGGTCCTTCCAGGAGGGAAGGCACATGCACAGGTCAGCCCTGACTCTCCTATCAGCATTCACATAAATGCAAAATCAAAAGGAAGAACAAAAGGCAGAGAGGATCTGGGGCTACAAGGAGCTCAGCCAAGGAGCCAAGGAAACGGTGCTGGCTGCTTTGAACAGCAGCATCACCCACACAGCTAATCCAGTGCACACCTAAGCTGGGCCAGGGGTGCAGCACGTGAGTGTGCCAGGAGGATCCTTACCCCTGCCTGCAGCAGAGGCTTCCCACAGGCAGCAGCAGCCAACCCAAACCCTGCAGGAAACAGAGCACATCGGGCTGGGATTAACCCCAGACAACAAAAGGGGTTGGTTATTTACAGCTCTTGCTTCTATCTGATAAAACCCCACATTTGGGAGCTACTTTCTCCCCTTGCTACAAGCCTGAGCAGTACAAGAGGATTGCACTTTCCTCTAGGAGCCTTGTGGTAAGGGCGGGTGCTCCTCCTGGCATCCCATCGCCTGCTCTCCTCCTGCTTTCCTCATCCCATTGCTTTCCAACTGCTTTGCTCTCCTCCTCCCTCCCATGCAGGAGGGAACGCACACCGGGAGCACAGAGCATCAATGCTAACCAGCATCACTGCTGCAGAGCGTGGCCACCTCTGCTCCCCAGCAGCAGGGCAAACCCAGCTCCTCCCATCCGCCTTGCAGCAGGACACGAGCAGTCACCAAGAGCAGCACCAGGGACACCCCAGCTGCAAGAGGAGCGAGCCGGCGGGTCAGAGAGCTGAGCCCCCCGTATCCCACCCATAGCAGAGCCCGCAGCCCAGCGGTGCAGAGCAGCAGGGCAGCGGGGCTGTGGCGTGTGCTCTGCTTTGCCTTTCAAGCCTCTCGAAGCAGACCGATCCCTCCCAGCGCGCTCAGATGTGGTTGCGTTGTTTTCGCCAGAGCTTCCCAAACACGAAGTTTCAACCTAAAGCAGACGCTGCCCGCAGAAAGTTTCGCCCCGAGCTCGCTGCAGTCGTGAGCAAATAAAACTGGAGTGAATAATGGGAAATAGTCATCATTCTTGTGCATACGCCTCTGGAGTAAAGCCACCCTCGTAGAAGACGTCCTCCAGTAAAGCACAGGCTGGGCTGGATGCTCGCTGCTTTTTGGACCAAAGCACATGGAGGACTGGGTTTATTTCCCCTTCATGTGGGCACAACCTCATGGCAGGGTTCAAATCTCCTTTCCTTAGAGCCATAAACATTGAGGAGCTGCTTTGTTTCAGCCTCTGCTTTCAAGAGGTCCCCAGACCAGCCTCCTCCAGTAGCTTCCCAGCAGTCTACCAGCATTTAAAACCCCATGGATTCACTGGCACAGAAGATCCTGTTCTATTTTTCAGTGTTTAAGGCACCCTAAAGCAGCCGCAGGAGGGTGGTGGGAGCCCTCACCATCACACACAAAGGGGAGCAGGTTTGCAGCATCCCACGCCTTCTCCCGTTGCCCCTCCACAAGATGAGATGATAGGGTGGAAATACCAACAGGCAGCGAGCATCCCTGGCAGGTCCAATTTGCCAGCTCCCCACCATCCCCTCCGCAGCGAGCACAGCTTTAATTTGATGTGGTCCTCAACACCTCCGAGCTCTTTGTTCTTCAGCCCTAGAAACTAATTAAACCTGACCGAGGCAGGGTTCCAGCCTTCCTTTGTTATTGGCAATCGGGAGAGAAACACAACCCGGCCCCAGCAGCGTCACGGGGGAAGCTTCTCACGACACGGAGTCATCAGACCTTTCCTTAATGCTCGTCATGAAATCGCTTTGGATTCCATAGCTTCCTCCATGCAAAGCTCCCACGAGAGCAGGGCACAGCGCCCGAGCCCCAGAGGGCAGGATCAGGCAGCAACATGTGTTTGGAATGGGAGGCTTGGGCTTTGGGATCTGCTGTCATTTGTTATGGGACATTGCACAAGCGATGCCAGGATGGGGTTTGGGTTTTTCCAGAGGGGATGTAAAGGAGCTCCTATTGCTGGTGCTTCAGGAAGGGCAGCCCGAGGCGTGCACAGCCCCACAGAGCCCGTCCCTGTGCCCCTCCGTGGCCTGGAGCCTGGGGTTTGTTTGGGGTTTCACAGCTTGAGGGTTTCACC